AGATTATGATCAGGTTTATTTTATGTTATTTATTAATGCTTATCATCACGACTCACCTTGAACACCAGTCAATTCCAACTCCACTACGAACTACTTCCTGCAGGCTTTTCACAATAAAACCACGTTAAGTCTCCATCAGCATAACGTCTCCATATTAACTAACCACGTTAAATCTAACTGTGCACGTCACCGAAGAGGTGTTTACTACATTCAGGGACGGAGAAAACGGGATGTTTTTTTAAACGTCAGTCAATATAAGCAGCGGAATYGCCACCCGCGGCTGCAACTAGCTGCTCCAAACATTAGCACGCTAACACACATAGCGGTGCAGCAAGGGAAAATGTCCCCCGGGAAACAACAGTTCACTGGCGGCCGCGACAAAACGTTCCGCTATTTAAACCAGAATGTCTGGTATTCAAAAAATTCATATAACAAAAATAAAAACCGGTATTCAGTACAAAATGGTATACTGCCCAGCACTACGACAACTCGTCTTTTACTGTCCACATCATCTGTCTGAAGTTTTTATTTGGACTTATAAAATATTTGGATATTTCTCACTGTATCCTTATTTGGATCTATTTATCACTGTCAGGGTAAAGTGACTTACAGTATATGCCGGTAGATTTCCTGTCAGATCTCAAAAACATATCCATCGTGTCTGATTGAAACACACGTTTTATCTAACTTAAAGCTACATAGACTGTCAGAGTTTTACTTTGTGTTTTCAACGGAACACGTCCGTTTTAACTCTACAAAGTAATTGTTGTTCACTGAAGGATCCAAACGGAAAAGTGATTCAGGATTATCAGKTTACTGAGTGTCGCTCGTCCAGTTTCCTGTTATGTTTACAATAACCTGTTTTATTTTTCTCTCTCTGTTTTTATTATTATATATTTTTGTTGTTGTCTTGTTCTCAATAGGGAGATGTTGGATCTTCTCGTGCCTCAACGTCATGCGACTTCCCTTCATGAAGAAGTTTAATTTAGAGGAGTTTGAGTTTAGTCAGTCCTATCTCTTTTTCTGGGACAAGGTAATGTATCCAGAAAATCTGCAGTGATGATAATTAATGTGGGAGTTTTCTCTTTGTGGCCTCCTTATTTATTTATCTTTGCTGTTAAGAGCTTTTTGCTACAAAGCTGTAAATGGCTGTTTGCGTTGATGCATTGTCGTTACGCAACACTTTATTTCTATGCAATCATTGCCCATCTAAACACAGCTTTTATGCGTCGTGGTTAGTGTGTTCTTTCAGGCCTGACGTCACTGTCATTCCTCCCTGAATGATTTCATCTCTGCTTTTTTTCCCACTCTAGTCCCATTTACTTTGTCCGGTGTGTTAAAGCCCAATATATCCCACCATAAAATCTGATTTTCTGTGTGTCAAATGCAATGTGCACGGGCCGGCACAAAAAGTAGTAATAAATCTGGACCTCACAATTTGAATGTCGAGCTTTAAGAGTACCCTGTTTCTTTTGCACGTCTGTTGTTGCACAGCATCAAAGGTGGGAAGCTGCATGTTTTTGTCCACTTCTAGTTGTAAATCTGACATAATTTCAGGGGAAGTCTGAAGACATGTTTTTTCTTAAGAAAATCACAAGTTTCATTCACGTCATGCCTTTGTGATTTGCAGACATTTATTTAAAGAGCAAAAAGCTCTTCAAAGGTGTAGGACCAACAATAATTCTTTTCAAAATGTCTGTATCATTGTGTTATCCTCTAATGACCATTCTGTGACTTAAGTTTAAACTTTACAAGCTCACRTATTTGTTTAACTCTGATTTCTGCTGCGTAATGTTGAAATATTTGTCACAGTTATTGTTGTTTTACATCCTTTCTTGCTGAAGTCTGAGACAAACATGGCCCCAAGAATGGAAACATCATTTGTGTGTGTGTGTGTGTGTGTGTGTGTGTGTGTGTGTCTGTGTGTGTAGAATGTTCTTTATTAGATTTAAGGCTCAATGCAGGGTTATTATAGTTAACTAAAACTAATTAAATAGCGAAAACTGAAATTGGAAAAACACATTTTAGTTAACTGAAATAAATAAAAACTGCAATAAAATGAAAAAACAATAACTAACAAACTGTATAATCTTTTTTACAAAACTAAATAAAACTAACTGAAATAATAGATAGAATATCCTTAGTTTTAGTGTTTATCAATTTATTGTGAGCCGTGTGGACTGGTTAAACTAACTTTTTATTTTTATTTATATATTTTTTTAATTAAGCAGTTCCACATTAACTGTGGGCAGCGTACGGCACACCATGGTCTGTAAAACACAGGAACACTTCAAGCTGGATGTTGCATTGGCAAATATGTTTATTCAAACTACAAAAAAAATAATACTAGAACTAATAAAAACTAAACTAAAACTAAGCATTAAAAACTGCAATAATAACTAATAAAAACTAGCAAATCCACACTAAAAACTAATAAAAACTAACTGAATTAAAAAAAAAATGTCACAACTAAATAAAACTAAGCTATAATGAAAATGCCAAAACTATTGTAACCTTGGCTCAATGTACACATCTGCATTGGAAGCTGGCACATTTTTATAAAACTATATTATAAACTTTATTTTAAGCTCAGGCAATTGAAATGGATCAAATTGTGTTACCATTCTTGGCACMAAAAGTAAGGATGCTTGTTTGGTAGATTAGTTCATTGTTGTAAATATCTGTTGGGCACCTGATTGGTAGAACTAGAAGCTTAAAACAAGTGTCAGTTACAACAACAAAGTAAGCTGTTTGGCAGAAATGACTTGGATAACTTTTCATGTGCTTAACCCACATACTGCTCATCTCACAAATGCGTGTTCCTTACAAATGTGGCACCGTTTGAAAAGTAAATTAACCAACTTTCCAACTGTGTAAGATTTATTACCAACATACATTGTTACAACAAAGAAATAATCTACCAAACACACATTTTCTTAGTTTTTGTGCCAAGAATAGTAAACTGCCCCAACACAAACCCTAATACTAGCTGTGGGACAAGGGTAATAAAATGCCCTTTATTGTGGGGGAAAAAGAGAAAAAAGCTGTGCAAAGGCCACTCATCCTATCTTTATATGTAGTTTCAGACTAGCGTGAGTTTCTAGTAATTTTTAACATGATCTTGTGCAAGATTTTACYGTCTTCCTCAAAGCGTTCAACATTGACCAATGATTTTCTCAAGCAGAATTAGGCTTCTAATTCTAGGAACTGACCAGTTGTGTCCACACATAAAGATCTAATGAAGAGTGTATTTTTGAATTGGTTCTGTGGCACTTTTACTCGCGGCTGGTCACAAAACCACAAATGGTTTCCTTTTTTTTCAAATCTACATTCACAAAATCATGAAACTTTACCAGGCGTGAAATAATTTTTTCACTAAGACGATTTCTAAAGAGGCACTTGTTAGTTTTTCTTCATCTTTAAGGACATGCTGCACGCAGTACTTAAGGCCTTGTTACTCTATAACTGTTAAAAACAACTATAAATAATATATGCTTATAAAAACTTAACAGGTTTTATATTTGTCCAACTTGTTTGCATTGCAGTATGTATACATCCAAAATAGGCTTCCAGTAGATTTTTATTTTTTTATTTTTTAATTCCATCTTCCGTGTAGACGTCTTCAAAATTTTCACAAGTTTGCACAAGTTGTTTGAAACTTTATAGTGCGACGGGGTTTATAGGCCAAGATTTTGAATAATATCACTATAATCAATGTAAATATACATCATGTTCAGTTTATACAATAGAAGCTTGGGTGAAGTCAGTTTTGTTACATAACAAACCTAAAAGTTTTCCATTAACGTGATTTAGGATGGCTCATTTTATTTATGTAATTTTATAAATTGACCTCGTTTTGTGTTCATGTTTGGACAGATCGAGCGTTGCTACTATTTTCTCCATGCCTGTGTGGAGACGGCACAGAGGAAAGAGCCAGTGGACGGGCGTCTGGTCCAGTTCCTTCTCACCAATCCCACTAATGATGGAGGACAGTGGGACATGCTGGTTAATCTAATCGGTTAGTTCATACTAGTTTGATTTTTCTTTGAGTACGCTGCACAAACGTTCTGTTTGGGGAAAGGACAACCTTCATGTAATTTTAGGCGTATGATTAATTATTCTGAATTGTAGTTTTTAAATTTATTTTGAAAAAAAAAAAACAGTTTTACGCCATCTTGTTTTTAGAGAAGTACGGTGTCATTCCAAAGAAATGCTTCCCAGAGTCTCACAGCTCGGAGGCCTCGCGCAGAATGAACGACATCCTCAACCATAAAGTACATTTGGACTTATTCTTGAACTCTTAAGTTATTCAAGCTCATGTAAAACATCATTAAGAGTTATTTTCTTAAGCAGTGCGGTTTTTCTTTTTTTGTTTTGCTTCAGCTGAGAGAATACTGCTTGAGACTGAGGAACATGGTGGCCAGCGACTCTTCAAAAGCCGAACTCTCTGAAGCCATCGACAGCATGATAGAGGAGGTGAGACTGCGAGGAAAAATCCAAATTATATTTATGTTTTGTTGTCATCAGGAACAAATTTTGTCATGAGGAACTTAGGAAGGCAACTTGTGTTTTGGCGTGGGGAAGTACGGAGTCGTTGTGGTTCCTGAAATTACTATAAATTGCAGTCGTCTGTGTTTTCCAACGTTACGACATTTCTCAGATCTGCGGTACTGTCTGGACGGTCAAAGGTCAGAGAAGTTTGTACTGAAGCTGTTGCACCGGTTTGGTTTCATCTGTTTTACTTTGTAGTCTGCAGGGTTCCTGCCTGGTAATATTTGGTCCTTTTTCTTCTGTAGCCACTGTTCTTTAAAAAAACAAAAAAACAAAACAAAACAATACAGGCTGTTTAAAGGAGCAATATCATGTAAAATCAACTTTTTTGAGTTTTATATCATGCCATAATGTTATATTCTCATAAAAAMATGCCCAAAGCCTTGCTTTGACTCATTCATGCATGTTTGAGAAATCCTGCAGCATTTTTAGGAAGCCATGCTGAGGAGCAAAACGACAGGTGGAAACCAGAAACGCCTTTTGGTACCAGAAACACCCCTGGGACGTGTCTTTCAGCCAAACTTCCTCATGGCAGAGCGCACCCCCTCCACACACACCCCGCCCATGACTCCTGCAGGCTCTCGGGTCAAAGTGAAAGTGAAACCTAGCTTCTGAGCTCTCCACTACTTCTCACTCAGTGAAGCTCTTTTCAGATTAAAAATACCTTTAGAGGAAATGTATTTTCAGATGCCAAGTAAACTGCATCATAGCGCAAAATCAGACGTTGAAATGAAGAAGAAAAATCATTTTGTATTGAAGTGTCTCCTATTCCAGTGTGACTTTCTAAAAAACACAACCTACAGGAAATGGAAACTCTAAATCCACCAGGATTTTGGAGTGGTGCAGAGAAAGTAGACCTTGGTTTTTGTCACTTTTATTCATAAACTTGAACATGAAGACCAATTACTGTGTTGCTGCAGTACATCTGGAGAAGGTTTTTGATTCCACCTTTGATTGTGAATGTGCTGCTATAATCTACAAACTCAATCTTCAGTTGGGYTTCTTTTCAGTATTTTTGATACCTCACTTTTGACATGTAAATACAATTTACAATAAAAATCTATAAAATTCCTGTAACTCAAATTAGGAGAAACACTCAGCTATCTAGATTAGCTTTGTTGTCTTGTTCTGTTGGCATGAAAAGTCATGTTGTTATGATCAAACTGGAATATTTGGATTGTCTAACCATTCATTTATTTACTTTTAATGTTCTCACTAGGGGTGCACCAATTGCAGTTCTCTGCCTGATTACAGATGTCTAAAAAGTTTGACATTCCCATTTTGGATGATACAGATTTTTTTTAATGACTGACACAGTCAGGTGTTAAAAGATGACAAAACACCTTCGTTCCAATCTTGTTTTATTTAAAAACACTGAACAGTACCATTGAAACAATACAAACTTGTTTTAACTGGACATTAGGTATTGCTCAGCAGAGCAAAAAAATGTTCACCTAACCAAGTTTTAAAACCGTATATCCAGCCAAAAAGCCTTTTTTGATCTTGTTTTGAGACTGATTTACTAAACAAGAACTGATTGTGTAAGAATAATAATCTTGTTTTCAGAATGTGTAAGATTATTTGTCTTGTTAGTCTGAAAATTTGACTCAAATTAAGTCAAAAATTTCTGCCAAAATATGGAGTAAGAAAACTTTACTTGGTAAGATTCTTGAAATACTTGATTTGACTCAATTTTTTCTTATTTCAAGAATCTTACCAAGTAAAATTTTCTTACTCCATATTTTGGCAGAAATTTTTGACTTAATTTGAGTCAAATCAAGTATTTCAACAATCTTACCAAGTAAAATTTTCTTCCTCCATTGGCAGAAATTTTTGACTTAATTTGAGTCAAATTTTCACACTAACAAGACAAATAATCTTACACATTCTGAAAACAAGATTATTATTCTTACACAATCAGTTCTTGTTTAGTAAATCAGTCTCAAAACAAGATCAGAAGACTTTTTGGCTGGATAAAAGATTTAAAAACTTGGTAAAATGGACAGTTTTTGCAG